CGCCCGGCTAATTTTTTGTATTTTTAGTAGAGACGGGGTTTCACTGTGTTAGCCTGGATGGTCTCGATCTCCTGACCTCGTGATCCGCCCACCTCGGCCTCCCAAAGTGCTGGGATTACAGGCGTGAGCCACCGCGCCCGGCCAAAACCGCAAATGTTCACTCTTGTGTTAGCCTTTAGTCCAAGTCCCTTATGATACAAGAGGGAAACTGAAGCCCAGGGATGTATAACGGCTTTTCCAAGGTCGCACAGCCAGCCAGCCAGGGACACAATCCAAGCCTCTCGGCGACAGGTCCAGGGCTGCCTGGACTCCGGAGTGTGGTGGGGGCATCTTGGCGGCCTTTTTCCAGCCGACCCCGCCGCCAGCCCGGCCCAGGCCCAGCCGGGTGAGCTGATGACTCAACGGGCGGGCACTGCATTTTGCTATCCTGCCTCGTCCCGCTGCTCTAGAGGGTTCCCAGCTCTCGGGCCAGACGGGTGACAACTTGCCTGAGTGAAACCGGGAAAGCGCCGCCCCTCGGCGCTCAGCAGGCGGCGGGGGCGCCGCTCAGTCAGTCAGCTAGTCGTGGCGTCCGCCAGGCCTGGCGGGCGGCGGGAAACTCGCCGCGCGCGGTCCGCCGCTCAGTTTCCCATTGGCTCGTCGGGCCCCCCGGGGTGGTACCCTGGGGCAGCTCCCTCCTGTGATTGGGTGGTAGAGCCTCGGGCCCCGCCTCCAGTCCTGGCTGTGAAGGCGGGACCGAGCAATGCGACCGCAGGTTCCGGCGTGTTGCTGGCTGCAGAGAGCGGAGGCGGCGGGCTCGGCAGGCAACGCTCCCAGCGGCCATTCCCACCCAGCTCGTCCTTCCTCCCCACCAGCCCGTTTCCTTTTGTCTCCATTTCCGAACTCTTTGGGACGTGACCCTCTCCTAAGATCTGGGCTTTTATGGCGGCACTGTACCCCTGCCTCAAATCGTACTTCCCTCCGCTGAGATTTGAGCCCTTGATGAGACTGTGACCCGCCTGTAAATCGGGTGCTCAGTGCCGCTCACTACTGCAGCGCTGTCCTTAGATCTCATGCCGGAGACTTCACTATTTCCTGTCCCGCTCCACCTGAGCTCGTCAGCCTCCCGCGCTGCGGCTCCCACTCACCTCCCCTCGGCCCTGCAGAGGAGGCTCGGCGCCTCCTATGGGTTCGCCTGACCCTCCCGGTCCCATCCAGTTTGACTGGGGCCGCCCTGATGGAGACAGCCGGACCCCGGCCTCACCTGGACTCAAAGTCTTGCGTGCAGGTGACTGAGCCACCCAGGGAGGTCAGGGCCCTAACTCAGAGGTCGAAAGTCAGGATCTCTAAATCAGATTCCAGTTCCACTCCCAACCCATCGCCAAGAACTGGAGAGAGACAGGAGGAGTGTCACAGGGGAACTTTATTGAGAGGAAACATGGTCACACCCAGCAGACATGCTTTCCTTCAATGTCGGTCTTGCACTGGCGCGCGCGCGCGCGCACACACACACACACCCATCTCCAGCCCCTGCCACTGTCCAGTTCTCAGCCACAAGGCGGGACATTCCTCAATTCCTACGACCAGAGGCAGCAGGGGCAGGAGTGAGGCAAGAGGGAGAGGAGAAGTAGCCTGGTCCTGGGGTCGGGAGGAAGCGGTGCGGAGAGCAGGGCTGGGGTCATGACCAGTGGTTAGGTGCGCTCAACAGCTGCAAGAAGAGTGGGATCCCCAGCCCCAGGTGGCCTCAGCTCTGCCAGTCCCTCTCCACGGAGCCGTTTGGAGTAAGAACAGCGCCTGGGGGAGAAGGGTGGGGCCTCCCACCCCATATTAGTCCTCTCGGCAGGGTGGGGGACTGAAGGGGGCAGGGCAGGGCGGGGCGGTGGTGGGCAACACTCAGCTCTGGGGCTCCTGGGGAGCCTCGCCCCCCTCTTCCCCGGCGTTGTCGGCCGTCCACAGCGTCAGGTTGTCTCGCAGCAGCTGCATGATGAGGGTGCTGTCTTTGTAGGAGTCCTCGCTGAGGGTGTGCAGATCAGCCATGGCCTCATCGAAAGTGGTCTTGGCCAGCGAGATGGCCTCCTCGGGGCTGTTGGCGATCTCGTAGTGGAAGACGGAAAAGTTCAGGGCCAGGCCCAGGCGGATGGGGTTGGTGGGCGGCATCTCCTTCTTGCTGATGTCCATGGCCTCCTGGTAGGCTGACCGGGCTGAGTCGATGATGCGCTTCTTGTCGTCACCAGTGGCCACCTCGGCCAAGTAGCGGTAGTAGTCGCCCTTCATCTTCAGGTAGAAGACCCTGCTCTCCGCGTCCCCAGCCTCCTTGATGAGATGGCTGTCCAGCAGGCCCAGCACGGTGTCGCACACGCCCCGGAGCTCAGTCTCCACCTTCTCCCGGTACTCACGCACCTCGGGGCCCTTCTCCTCCGAGCCCTCCTCATTGCTTTTCTGCTCAATACTGGACAGGACCCTCCAGGCAGCCCTCTGGCCGCCCACCACATTCTTGTAGGCTACTGAGAGCAGGTTTCGCTCTTCGCAGGAGAGCTCCTCACCTTTCTCCACGGCGCCCTTCATGAAGGCTGCCATGTCCTCATAACGTTCGGCCTGCTCTGCCAGCTTGGCCTTCTGGATCAGACTGGCTCTCTCCATGGCTCTGGGGACACACAGGCGGGCGGCGGGGTAACTGCTGCCTGGGACCAATGCCGGACTCTGTGCCTCTCCTGCTCTTGGCCTGCCTTTTGGCTGGGTGGCCAGGCCCAGAGAAGGGTGGGGAGGAGCAGGGGGCGGGACCAGGGCCCAAGACCTGCCTCCCTCTCCTCTCCTCCCCACACCCTTTCCGGCTCTGCAGTAAAGGTAAAAAGGCTGGGATGTGGGGGTGAGTCATCAGAACAGTCAGCAGAAGAAATCTGGGCGTGGGCCCCACCTGCACAGGCACCTTTCCAGGCTCTAGGCTGCCCCCTCTTGTTCGGGGCTAGCATCATATGGCTGCTCACATCAGGAAACTGCCTGGCTTCTCAAATCAGATCCTCCTTCACAGCGCCCTTACAGAGGCTAAGGGCGGCTTTAGCCCCTGGCTGCTTCTGCCTCGACAGAGCCCATAAAGGTTCAGGAGGATGGGGTTCCTAATCCTGCCAGGTAACTTCTCCCCTTGATTCAGGTGAGGATAACTCATGTTTAGGTAGGGCCATAGAGTTTCCCAAGCACTTTCATATTCACGATCGAATTTAATCCCCACTGTGTCTCTGTGACACACACAGGACCACAGAGATGGGAACACTAAGTCTCAGAGAGGGGTGAGATTTGCTCAAAGTCACATAGCCACCACTTCCCTGAAACTCCTTTCTGCACCCTGCTTCCTTTAGCTTTTCTCCCGTTGAAGTCTCTGACCTATGAGCTCCAGGCTGTGTTTGGAAGTAAGATCCAGGCTCTTTCTCAATCTACCTGAAGATGGTTCCATCCCTCAGGCCTCACTCCCCCTCAGGGTCCCCTGTGAGCTCCCAGAATGCGCAGGTGGCAGCTTTCAGAGTGCCACTTAATGAAGTGTTTAACAAGCAGCCTCTGACGCTCCAGCCCAGCCTTTGTAATTAGTCACCCAGTAGGTTTGTT